TCTTCAGTCTGTTTCCCTGCCAAACTTTCTGATTCATTTCTATCAATCATCATATCCGTTCTATTCATCCTTTCTAATGTATTCCCAGTGGTCTCCTCTTTCCCACCCCCTTTCTGTACACTTAGGCTCAAAATAAATTCAAGCAGAACCAAAAGAGTCATGTACAGAGGTGATGTGGCCAAAATCCCTTTGGTAACAGCGTGAAAAGAGCTGAGGGGCATTCTGCTGACCTGCCAGGCTGCAGGCGGTGGCTGGGCCTCCCCAGGTCTTCCTCCTCCAATTAGACCCATTTCTCTTTCATAGGCAGAATTCCAGAGGGAATAAGTGTGCGTGTGTAGTAGATGAGGCCCCCTGGCCTTACGGCTGACCTGCAATGCCCAGAAGGGTGCTCAGCAAGCATTGTTCCAGCTCCAAAAGAAAGAAAAGGAGCCCATTGTCTCTTTATAAAAGCCTAAAATAGAACTGCCCTTTTAAATGCCAGGCAACATTGTAAATGCGCCAATCTATTTTCTGACTTACTATAACCACTGGGTCGTGTATCCACAATGTTGCTCTCTAGGTTTCTCTGAATCTATTTCATAGTCCCTTCTTCATGTATAGCAAGTTACATTTTTTTTCAAGGTTGAATTGCATTTCATTTTGGGGGTGGAGGATGGTTTAAAAACTAACTTCAGTGACGTGCATCTCAATTCTTAATGGTGTCTGCAACGACTCCCAAATTAGAAAGCTCTTCAAACTTCACTAGCAAAGTGTTGTTTTCTTGATTTTTCCAAATCTTCTTGATGTGCTGACATTATAACTAATATTTGTATAGTGTTTTACAGTTTACAAAATACTTTCAAACCCGTCATCTCCTGAGAGTCGCTATTATTAGGAACTCTCCTTATCTAGGCAGACGGGCGTGGAAATATTAACTGTTTTGTCAAAGGCTACACAGCTCCTAACAGAGTTGAGAGTGAAGCAGTCTCCTGGCCGCAAACCCCATGGACTGGTTACCGCCCAGTGCTGTCCATGTAATTCTACATAAGAAATTATGGATAGCAAATATAATAATTATTATTATTTAATAGGAAAGAGAATAAATCTCAATATCTAGAAAGATGTTTTGACCATAGATTTTGGTGAGAAATATTTTTTCATGTTTCTGTCAACAGGAAAACCATACACACAAAATCAGTGGCAGGTACTTTTAAAGATATTAATAGCTAACATTTTTTGAGTATTTTCAATGTGCCAAACTCCATATGACTTCCCAAAACTATTAATATTTTAATTAATCCAAAGAACAGACCTGTGATAGAAGTTTCATCTTCATTTTGTTGTGAGCACCTGTTATGTGAGCCAGACTCCATATTTCTCTATACATTTACTTTGTAAAAGCTCTATCTCCTTTGCACCCCCATGATAGTGAAAATGTAAGACTAAGCAGACACGTCTTCTTCTGTCCTATATTTGATCACTTCTCTTACCATGCGGAGTCAGGATGACTCTCTTTTAGCCTGGTGTTATCTGTAACTGCAGCATCTTTGGTTTTACAACATTACTACCACTCTTATCTTTTCCCAATGCCTTTTCATTCAAAATGACAGAATTCATTTGATTATTTTCTAGGGCTGTTTGAGCATACCCTCTCTGTGCATGAAAGAAACCAGATTTCACTGCAGACATCTCTGATTTATATGACATAATTTAAAATGAAAAGCTTCCATCTCAATATGCCCTCTTTTTCCTGCCCCACCTTCTGTTCTGCTGATAGACTGAGTCATGGGCTCACCCCTCAGAGTCAGAGCAGTAGTGTTTGCCGGTTCTCTTTCTCCAAGAGTTTGTTTTCCCAATTCCTAGGCCCTTAGAACTTACCCTATAAACTTTTACTCTGCTTTTGACCTGCAATGATTTTGTGGAACGCTTTTGTTAAGCTGGGCTGTGCTAACTTGGAAGGGTGGTGTTTTATACACAATGTTGCAACATACAGTTCTACACAAATATGGCCAAGAACAAACACTCTTTAAGCCCAATGTCAAACCTGATGCCATTGTGATAAAACAAATGCACAATGCCGTTAATTGGAACAGACGTTTTATGATCTGAATTAATTCTGTAAACTCAGTCCACACAGCCAATGTAGTGAACATCAGAATACATTAAGAGGCATAAAATTGTAAATTGGACATGTGGATAAGCTATATTGATATTGTAAAATATTATGATAAGACTTCTTGTCAAGTCTCCTCATTTGAGGGCACCACATTAAAAAAAAACCAGAGTTGTGAGTAGTACTGACGTCATTAAAAGTTGAACCTATTTAGATTCACAGTGCTCACTACAGACAATTGCATTTTTAAACATTCAGCAGATGGCCAGAATTAGGTCCTGGTGAGCCTTTTCCACGGCAGTGGAGCCGACATGCAGTAGGATATACTACTGGCAAGGATTTAATTTCACCTGGAAATAAGCTAGCAAGATAGAAACTGTTGAATCTAATAGTGGCGTGGCTGTAACTTCAGCGGAACAACTGCCTCCATGATAAGTCCCCACTGTCTCTGTGCAGGACTAAAACGATGGCCAGTTTGGTGGGAAATCTATAACTGAATAGGGTCAGGGTAAGGGGGCAGAAAAGGGAGTCGAATGAATCTGCTGAATCGGTTATTTACTTTGTATAAGCAAAACAAAAAGTTCTTCAATGGAAGGTGTTTTCCTTATACGTGGAGTAATGGTACTTTGTTGACATAACAATACTCTATCACAGTCCTACACCAAAGACAATTAAATAGAAGGAAAAAGAAGGACAAAGAATATTTTTTGAACACTTATGAAGATTATGCTATGTTAATAGCCAACACTTTTTGAGTGTTTATTGTATATCAGAGATGGCACAAACTCTTTAAACATGTTACCTTTTTTAATCCTCACCACATCCCGTGAGACAGATACTGTTCTTATTCCCATTTTACACCTGAATAAATAAGGCAAATGGAGGTCACACAGTTGGTAAGTGGCAGCTGGGCTGAGAAGAATCTGCTGAATCTAGCCGTAAGGGGTTATCTGTGAGCCCTATGAGGGCATTTTTAGCTATTGGGTAGGAGTGGGAGGAGAAGCCAATTTTCCTACTATTATAGCAGGATATCTAGAGGCAGGGCCATGAGGGGAGCTTACGGACACCTGCACATTCCGTGACATGAATAACGCCCTAGATGTTTCTCATCCAGACTGTGTGGTTCCAAGGTGCTCTTAACGATTGTAGTGCCTCCTTCTTGGTGCCTTAGTTATTTCCCTAGTTCCTAACTTTCTGAAACCAATTCAGTTGAATACAGTTTGGTGGCCACAACAATCCTGTAAGACATGCTATCTCTATTTTACAGGCTAGCAGCAGAGGCACAGAGAGATTGCAAAGGACTTGCAAGTCAGTGTGAGAACTCAGTAACAGCATTCTGTTATTGAACTTAATGTGGAACTTAACATTTTTTGACAGCCACTAATCCTTGGCTCAGGTTTCCACAAACAAGGCTGATGAGGATGCTTCATCATGTCTCTGATGGTCTTGAGAAGTTCTGTGGCGATTGACAAGATCCATGATGCACTGTCATCCCCCCAGTACGCTGTGCAATGGCCAAGACTGTGGTGATATTATGACTAAGTTCATTTGAAAGTGCTAAGCATTTTGCCATGAGCTATCTGATATTACTCAGCTTTCAAGCCAGGAAAGTAAGAAGTAGAAAGTTTAAGTTCAAGGTCATAGAGTAAGTTAGAGGATCCCAAGCTGTTCAATCCCTAAGCAATATGTCATTCTCCCTGCACACAGGCAGGATGTTGAACTAGTGGGTTTATTGACATCTGAGAGTCATATTTACCAGTCTATAAAAAAAATATTGGTTGCTATAAAAATTTAGAAACAGGAGTCCAGGGAATGTTCTGCAGTAGAAACTCCCTCGTGATATGTTTTAGAGCAAATCAGTAAGGAAGTAAATGTATGTTGGCCCAGCCACTATTCAACCACACCAGGATGTAAAAGAAAATAAAAAGTAGCAGTGGTCTTGGATCTCATTTCCCACCAGTTTATAAGTTTGTTTGCTTGCTACTGTAACATCAAGTTAAAGCAATTTCCAAGCCATTTTTGCTCTAAGGCCATAGCAACTTTTCCATGGTGCAGTGGACATGGCCTGAATAAGTGGAAACATGAGATTTCCCAGACAGCAAAATACAAATGATATGAGTGAGAGTCCCATGCACCATGTGAGTCTTTGGCTATGAAATCAGCACCATGATCCATTTGTTCCTGAGGACATCATAAGATGTGCAGGGAGTCCCAATGGCCATGACAGCCACTTTTAAAAATAGAGGGCTGAGAATAAGTTACAAAACGGTCTCTTTTATAATTTCCTTCTCTCTAACAATCCTATTCCCCAAATAACATTTCTAGACCCCCTTTCTATTAAATCAAGTGGATAATGTGAAGAGGAGACAGAGAGACATGCTCAAAGTCAGTTAACTTCTTTTCATCATATTGTCTCTGCATCTTTTATCCTTCTGATTTTTCTTTTATCTTTTTTCATACATCTTTCTTTGCTTGATTTCCAAATACCTCATTGCTATTTTTCTGCTCCCTGCTCTCATTTTTAATATATTCAGTCTTTCATTTTTCTTCCCTTTCTGCCTATGCTACCATCATTTTGTCACTCTCTGTTCAAGTAACTGGATTTGCACATAGTTTTATATTTTTAAACAATCACTCCAACAATGTTCCAACTGTCTCTGGGGGAAGGTATACAATTGTAAATATAAATCAGCCTGAGCCAAGTGAAAGCATGCTCAAGCAAAGCATTAAATCCCCCCTTCTGATTTCCACAACCAACTGAGAAATAGCCTAGGTCAGCTAGACAGAATGTGGCAAAGGTGAAAAATGATAGTGTGAAGAGCCCGGGGTTATATCAAATTTTGCTTTTTTATTACTTTGGGCTTGCCAATAAATTCTAGGAGCCATCCTTTTTTAATATATTTCCTAGGTCTCTGCTAACTCCAGCATTTGGCAGATGAAATTCCACCAGACTGTTTAGAGACCTCCTGCTCCTACAGCAGCTAAACATCTCAATGGGCCAACCGCGGAGCAAGAGCACGGAGTGTGAGAATTCCAATCTATTTCTACCCTTGACTTGCCTGCTTATGTTTCAGGGACTGCTTATGTTTGATAATGTGTAGAATAACATTTGGGAAACATTTTCACTGGCTCAAAGCTAGTTGTCCAAAAATAGAGAAACTAATGCAACTCTCCTACATATATTCCTACGGATACAGATATATATGGATATAGATTTATGTCAGTAAAGAATGGAAAAGGGGCTGAGGATAGGAAGGAAAAAAAATGCATGATGATTCATCAAACTTCTACTGTGTCCCAAGTGCTGTAGATACGTTATCTCCTTTAATCTTATAATTATCCAGTGAAGTACCTACAAATATACTTTTTAGGAAGATAGGAAAATGAAGATGCAAGGTGACTAAGTAACTTGCCAATGGTCACCTAGTAAGTAGTAGAGTTATCTATGAATGAATCCATATGATGAACAAGGAGAAAGAAGGGCACAATTTATTGATCCAGACCCTTTAGTAAGTATTTCATATACATTATCTCACTTACAGAGACTCTCTGAAGTAATACTATTACCTCTAAATTTGTCCAAGTCATGGAGCTAGTGGGTAGAAGCTTCAGAATTTGAGCCACAGCCAAGTGACTTCGGATTCTATAGTGCCAACCCCCAATACATATATTTCACTATATAATCAAGTCTCTTGAGACATTTAAAATAGAAATTCAATACCAAAACTATAAATTAGTGCCATATTTAAGAAAAATGATATGAGTCCTTTCTGTTTCATTCAAAATATGAATAGCATGCCAATATAGCCCAAATATTGAAGAGTTATGTCAAAAGACAATTCAGGGGATGGGTATATTCACACCTAATGGGTGCAGTGCACACCGTCTGAGGGATGGACATGCTTGAAGCTCTGACTCAGGTGGGGCCAAGGCAATATATATAAGCTAAACATTAGTATACCTGTAATATGCTGAAATTTAAAAATTAAAAAAAAAAATTCGGCATGTCCAGAAAGTGTTTATGAACATCTTGTCATCACTGCAGTACATGTAGGACTCCTTCTTTAGAATGCATTAGGGGTTCAGGGTAGTGATGGATAGGAAGAGGAGAGAGTGGTCTTAAAATTGCAAGGTCAGCACATCCAGTTAAACTCTTTCACCCATGTAAAATAAGATTGTTATTGAACCGGATTAATAAATTTAAAAGATTGCAAGAACTCAGCTAGAATAAATCCCAGATGTTAAGACTCCCAACAGAATTAAACCAGTGAATTCATTCTAATAAATCCCTTTTACAGCATTAAAGCAATTAATGATGTCTATTTCCTTTGTTGAAACTACCCTTCCAACCAATGCAGATTAAAAACTATATTTTTCCTAATAATTATTTTTCTCTTTAACTCTTTATATCTTCTTGTCTCTCACAATATTGATTGTGAGTAGGTGAAAAAATGTATGGACTTACAGGAGCTTATAGTCATTGAGTATTTACTTTGAGACATTGTACTAAGTATTTTACTTTCAGTACTATTTAAACTCTATTAAACAGATGGGGAAACTGTGGATTAATAAGATTAATTTTCCTGTAATGTGTAACTAAAAAAAGTTTGGCTTCACACCCAGGTATTTGTTTCCAACTACAAAGCCTGAACTCTTACTCAACATTCATTGAATTTGTAGCTGATCAAATGATTATGTTCAAAAGGTATAGATTAATACATCATTTCCAGCATCAAAGGGCCATATATTGTGTTGAATTCTGAATCATGTAGCTTAAAAAATATATAGGTAAATTGGACTGTGCTCAGGAAATAGCAACTTAAAGGGTGAAGGGCCCCCACAACCACTTCAGTTGAAGAGGGGGGTGTTAGGGGCCAGCAACATTTAGCTTGGAGAAGAGAAAGCTCAGTACAGCCCTGTCTTCAGATACTTGAAGAGCTGCCCTGAATAAAGGCGGTGAAATGAGCCAGTGAGTGGAGGGGCCTGGAAGAGACCATCTCCAAGATTCTTTGTCAGTCTGTGATTCTATGATATGTTCCTTATAAATCCAAGGAGTGGAGCCAGTGGAAGTAAGTGTTAGCTGGACATGAGAAAGAATTTTCTACCAGAGTAAGCTGATGGTGGCAGTTGTGCCTCATCCTTAACTCATCAGTGGAGTTTCTAGCATAGTCCAGAAAAACACTTGGCAGGAATTTGGGGAAGGAAATTTAAATATAGAATGATGGATTAAACCAGATGCCATGGCCCTGAGAGCCATGCATTGACATGTAAATACTCCATGATGACAAACCTCCAAGACAGATTGTTAAGATTCCCCAGAGCCTGAGATCCATGTTTCCTTGGCTCATCTCAAGAAGCCTCTGGTAGAAAAGGAGGACTAGAGAGAAGAATTTATAAGGACAATAGCATCAGCTCTGAGTTCTAAAATGACATGGATAGAGTTGTAAGAAAATCCATGTAAGAACTAATGAGATAACTCATAAGGAAATGTTTTGAAAAGAACCAAACTCCATTGATGTTATAGGGAATATAAAAAATAATAACAAATTAGAGAGGCAACAGTCCTAACTGATAGGAAATCTCTCTTGATTAAAGACCATTGTACAACTATATATGGAATAGGTCAGTGAGTGAAAACTTTAAATTAATTGAAAGATAAAATTCATTTTTAAAATGCAGTAAAATCAGTCTTAAGACCGAACAGAATGAGAATGATAGGACTCACTCAGAAAATACCATGAAGATAGAGTCAATTTCATCTTTAGCTTTTATCAAATGATATTTTCCTAAAGATGAACACAAATTGTTGCTAGATGTCACCACAGTGGTGTTTCTTTTACATGTTTTTTTCCACTTTTAGATCTCAAATACCCCTAATATCTTCTGTGTGAAACACATGCACATGGATACACAAGCAAAAAAGGATAGTATAAGATCCCTCTCAGACAGGCAGGGTTACAATTCAAAACTCTTAAAAAAGAGATTTTAAATAACACCTGAAGATTTCTTAACCTCTCAGAATAGCTTGAAGTTTCAGAGAAAAGTCAAATCCTCCATTCTGACTGTCCCATTGTGCGTGCACTTTCTAGTGTGGGACCAACTCTTATCTATATTTGAAAACAAAAAAGAATTGCACTTTGAACTCCACATATCCTGGATATCTTCCATTTCCTAACATACATTATCTTTCCATATTTCCCTTGATAGCTCTGGGGCTGAAATGCACAACTCGTAAGACGGTTTTACACACAGTCCTTCTTTTATAGTGATACTTGAAATATTCTGTGTCCCAAGACTACCCTACATTTCAGCTTCATGGTCAATTTCAGTCCAGATTCCACTCCGCCTGCCCCTCTCCTCCACATTGTTGATACCCTTTCATCCGCTTCAGCTATAAGAATTGGGGTTGTGTGACGAAAGATAAATTGGCTGTGATTCTAAACTGCACCCTATCTAATGTGCAGATTTTTAAATTAAATTGTTATTTCTAACTTTTTTCCAAACAACTGTAATTTCTAAATTTATGACTCACATAGAGCTCTCCTGAAACTTTCAGGATAGCTTAGGGTAGTGATGAAAAGTTTAATCCCTAAGATGAAAGATCAGAAGCTTATCCATAAGATGTAGTAGCTCCCTTGGTCCAAAGAAGGAGAGGATGGGGGAGGATGAGAGAGCTGGGAATCCAGAAACATTTGCTCGTGGTACCAAGGCCGACGACGCTTCCTGAAGGCAGCTGTCAATAGGACCATGGTCCTATTTCTCATATTTGGAAAGATACGGGAAAATCACTTGTGTTCCCTTCAACCACATGTTTTCTATGTATTTAGCATTTTTCTCCCCTCTTTCTGATTCTAGCCTGTTTTATATTCTCCATAGTGCTTTTCTCTACCTAACATACTATATATTTATGTATTTATTATCAACCTCCATATCACTAGATTATAAACTCTCCATAATTCCAAAGATTAGCCTATTGCAGAAGTTCAATAAATATTTGTGAAGTGAAGGAATAAAGAAGTGAATAGTGAAACACAGCCTTTTAAAAATTATAATTCACATTGCTTTAAAAACAATTCTACTGGGGAAACTTATAAAGCAATAAATATGTTTGGTACTACTCAGATTGGGATAAATGGAATGCATTTAATAACCTCTCAGAGGGGTCCACTTTTTGCAAAGTTGAGGTACCTACAATCTCTCTAATTTCATGCCACAAAGTGAGGCATATATTTTAATATATTAATACAGAATTTTCAGTTCTTTTGCCTGTTTCTTTCCAGAAATGTTAGTACATGCTGCTCTTGAACACCAGTGAAACCACCTTATAATTAGATGTCTTTGACCAAGCTGCCATTCTTAACTTGGATCCAAAATGATACTGACTTTATTTTAATCAGAGTCAAGTGTGGCAAGTAAAACAATATTATTATAAAATGATAATGAATAACTTTTTTTTAGATATTTAACAAATGCATTACAGGAATAGCCCCATAACAAACTGGAATGAAAAGGGCACAGAGTAGAAATATCTTTCCTGGCCACCCCTCTGAATGGTAGCAAGGAACAGATGAGATACATCTTCATGTAAATACCTGGAAAAGTATAATAAAATATTAGCAACATAAATAAACAAATATGCATCTAAAACTGCTCTAGAAATAGTTCATATACATTGGATCATCTTTAGGTTTTGTCCAACATATCTTCAAAAACTCCATTCTAAGTCAAAACCTGCCTATACAACCAACCACACTTTAGTCCTCTGGTGGGCACTGTGGTGGTCTCTCAACTTCCATTCCCACTTCACCTGGGAAACATGCTATTAATAGTTTCCCTTCCATCTCTGCGAGGAGCTCTCTCCTTCCCTGGTTCTAGGTGTCATTAACTCAGTGGTAAGTTCATGACCCAGGACAAGAAGAGAACAGGATTTGGAAAAGAAGCTTCATTCTTCTTCTGAGGATGCTCCTGTAATCGCTCTTCTTCATCTCTCTCTGTGGTGGACAGGGACTTCTGTAGCCTCTGGA